ACCTCCATTAAACTCTGTAATCAAGTGGTAGTAAAACTGCTAACAGAAGTTAACTATGTTGCAAGGAGAAATGCCTCACTAAATGTGAATTTATGCATGAGACTGTTCTGTTAAAATATTTAGCTTTGTATGGATTTCCCTCGTGTACAAAAATGCATAGATAGATTTTTTAAAGGGAGAATGGACAAACACATGACTATCCTGAAAATGCAAAATGACCTTTCCCTCTCATTCCTGATATGTGTGGTTAGACTACTGTGCTACTGTCACTTAATCCCTTCATATTCCAAATGTAGTTAACTATAACATTGGGCCACGGGCAATCTTCCAAAATGAGGTCAACGGGGCATAAGCCAAGATGGTGGACAGAAGCCTTCGTTTTTATGATGTCAGCTGACATTAGGTCAAAGTTTTTTTTAATGCTGACATTACAATGCTCCATTTACTTACATTTGTATAAAAGTAAAATTGTTTGGAAATGGCTCAGTGATCTGCAGCAATATTTTCCACGGTAAAGCACGCAGCTTGTTGTTTGAGGGAAGGGAAAAATGCTCAGCCCTGCATGCATGTGCTTACCACATTGAAGTTTAAAACAGGGCAGTTACAGATTTACAGAACTGCTGACCACCAGCATCATTAGCTGCCGTTATGCTTACAGACTGGCAAAGGCATTCAGATCAGTAGTAAATCATCTTGTAGGTCAGCAGGAAGCTCATTATGGGCAGACAGTCCAAGTGACAGAAGCACTCTCTAAGCCTGTAAGAGCAGTAATTTCCTGTGTGAAAGCCTTGCCGCTGTCTCTGCATTCCTCAGGGTGCAGCGCTCAGAGAATATTTCTTTTCCACATGAAGAGGAAGGAAACAGTTGTTGGCGGATGTGGGGGCTGATGGCAGTGAGGCATTTAACAAATGTCTAATAATCAGCTGTAAGATACTGGCAGCAAGTTAGACTCCCAGAAATATAGGGGCAAAACAAAGAGGTGACGAGGGAGCAATAGGTGATGGAGACATACGGTCACTGTTCACATGAAAAACATTAGGTAACATTACAATGCAGAAAAATTGAAAATATCTGTGTCCCATCCAACACATTCAGGAGTAGCTATGTTGCCTGTGCAGCATAATACCAAAAAAAAAAAAAACCCAATCTGCAAAACAGTGATAACTTTGTTGGGGCAATCAAAATGCCCGAAACACATTGTTTTAGAAATTTTACTGGTTTCATCAGACAAAGATGCCAAGACATCTCAGATGTTAGTCTTTAAAGGTTTCCCCTATGCAACATCTAAACATCTAGGAGCCACGATGGCACAATGGGTTAAACCCTGAAGGTCGGCAGTTCAAATCCGTGAGACGGGATGAGTTCCTGCATGTCAACTCCAGCTTCCCATGTGGGGACATGAGAGAAGCCTCCCACAGGATGGTAAAACATCCAGATGTCCCCTGGGCAATGTCCTTGCAGATGACCAATTCTCTCATACCAGAAGCAACTTGCAGTTTCCCAAGTCACTTCAGACACATACAAAACACCCTTACCACCCCCCCCCCCCCCCCCAGGATGTAACACTATAGAGACTTCACAATATATTCAGTGTTCTCTGCCTAAGAAAGGGGCACTTAGTATTACACAGGACAAAGATAACCTGGACTTCAATGGAACTTACTTTACTGCTAATGAATTTAAAATTTTATTCCTGGATTTCTACTGCCCTTTCTCCCTGCTCCCCACATGGCCAAGATGCAGAATGGCCTCCACCACTTGTATTGGTATCTCTCCAGATCATTTAACTAAGAACAAAAGTAAAATTTGAGACAAACAGTAGTCCTATATCTCTAACACCATCACTTTTATCCTCCTGCATTATTTTAACATGTTTGCCTGATGAAGAAGCCAGTGGGGCCTGAAAAGCTTGAATGATCTATTTTGTACTTTATAGTTGGCCCAACACAAACATCACTGTGGATTTTGTTGCATCCCATACAAGGACACAAAGAAATTCCTCTCCCTGGAAAAGTTCTCAACAAAGATTATTAATGAACACAATGACATTGCTCATTCTTTTTGGAGTTCAGTTTCAAGATCTCTGCTTGCGTAACATGCTGGAGTCAGAACACCTCTCAAGTGTTTGACATTAGGACAAGTTGTAACTTTAACAAAGATTGTCAAGCAAACGTTCACTACTTATGACTCATTGAAAAATTATGGAGCCTCACTCAGAAAAATGGAGTAATTTCTACTTATAGTTGTTTGATCAGAACATTTCGCAATAGCTCCGGCTTTTCTGGAGTACTTTCACACGTTAAAAACTCAATGACAACTACCATCATCTCAGCAAGAAGGGCTGCTTTATCTTTAACTATACAAAGGAGTCAATTTAAGAAAGGCTGGAGACTGTACAATAGGCATATAAGCCTTTATATGTTCTGAAAGCAAAAAGGGATGCAAAACGGGCTACTTGCTCAATATGTAGTGATTTTCCGACTCTCTTGTTTATAGTTTTCTACATCACATAATGTTCTAAAGCAAATAAATTGGGCAATGATGGTGAATAGGAAGTTGAGAAGAGGTTCACAGTGTTTTAAATATATATATAAAATCTATAGCTGCTAAGCATAAAAGCCACAAATATTAGAAAACAAAGTACTTAGTACTTTGTTTTTGTCTACTATATAATTATAGGCTGGTGTAAAGGAACATTAGCTAAGAAGATGACACACAGAGTCTCATTATACCCACAAGTGCATTCACCAATGAGTCACAGAAGAAAATTTGCTAGAAATTTAAGGGAATCCTCATAAATATATATTTATCATATTTAAGGTGTAGGGATTTTGAGGTATTTTATGACAACGAGAGCTAAAATCGTGTCCTACAATTCTTTTCAAAGTATTTTTCAATTACAGGAAGTCCCCAAGTTATGAACAAGATAGGTTCTGTAGGTTTGTTCTTAAACTGAATTAGTATGTAAGTTGGAAGAGGTACATTTTTAAGAGTAACTCCAGATAATATATATATATAGAGAGAGAGAAAGGCGGGGGGGGGGGGGGCTGTATATTAAATCTGCCTTAAAAGGTAAAGTTTCCCCTTGACATTAAGTCTAGTCGTGTCTGACTCTGGGGGGTGATGCTCATCTCCATTTCTAAGCCAAAGAGCGGGTCCATAGATAGCGCTCCATGACTACATGGAGCGCCGTTGCCTTCATGTCAGAGCAGTGCCTATTGATCTAGCCGGCGTCGCAAGCGCGGTTGGCGGGGACGAGAGACAGGGCCTTCTCGGTGGTGGCCCCTCGGCGGTTATGGAATGCCCTACCAGTGGACATCAGGCAGGCCCCTTCGTTGCTGGTGTTTCGGAGGAGGGTTAAGACGTGGCTCTACGAGCAGGCATTTGGATGAATATGCAATGACAACTAACTCAGTAAAACGGCATTGAACAAGGAACGAAAAAAGGACTATGAGAACGGGGACTCAAATTGAGGCGTTGATGATTATATGTGTGTTGTTTGTGTATGTGTGTCTTATATATTGTCAGTGTTGCTTATTTTATTGTAAACCGCATTGAGTCGCCGCCTCAGGCTGATAAATGCGGTATACAAATGGAGTAAATAAATAAATAAATAAATAAATAAAATAAACTGCTAGTTTTGCAGAAGTTGGCGCTAATAGCGGGACCTCACTCTGCTTCCTGGATTCGAACCACTGACCTTTTGGTCAGCAAGTTCAGCAGCTCAGCAGTTTAACCTGCTGTGCCACCTATGGATAGCATAGGAAAGGTTAACATCCCTGTTCTGTTTGATTTGCTGTCTGTGCCCCTGTTCAGAAGATTTCACCTCACTTTCTGTCCCTGTGAAAATTGGATTTTGAAAAATTTGGCTTGTTGTGGAAACAAAGATTGGTGATAAATCTTCTGTGGAGATACATTTTCCCCATGGTAACTCTTTTCAGGGGTTAATTTCCCTTCCGAGGGGTAGATTTTTCTCAGTTCCTGTTATTCCACCCTTGTCTTTAACCATAACTTGTTTGTAAGTCAAATGTTTGTAACTCAGGGACTGCCTGTACAGGCAAAGGCATCTTGAAGCCTAAGTCAGTCTGCAAATGGGAGATTGGCATACTTTTAATTTCATTACAGTGTGGAAGCCACTATCATAGTTTCATCCTATTTTCGGTAGCAATGTCTAAAACCACACACTGGTAGGGCTAATTTCATGGATCTTCCTTGGACAATTAGCACAACCAGCCCTGTCATCAGTACAGTGTTAGGCTTTCATGTGATATCTCACTGGTTTGTGACTACACCACAGGAAAGTAGCTCCAGTATCCAATTAAGAAGCACTGAACTGACTCATAACAGGCTTGAAGACTAAGCAAGAAAAACAACACAATATGGGGTCTTATGTATATTGGACACTTAGCAGGGTTGGGTAGTGTGATCTAGCTAGATCTATTCTTGCAGAATTAAAAGGGAACTTATTAAAATCTTTAAATGAAACATTTCAACAAATGTACACACTCAAAAATTATTTGAGTTCTTCCATAATACTGAAAAATTTGAATATGTGTAACCTATATGTAAATTACACATATGTTGTGGAAACGGCCGCAGTGACTTTGAAAAGAGTCAACTCATCTCTATTTAGACACCAAGTACACATGTAGCCAATCCCACAATGATTTCTATAGTTTGGAAATGGGATGGTTTTGGCAACATCTGAGGATTAATGAGAAGCAAAATCTCCACCAAAACAGTGGAAGAAGAAAGCCATTCAAATAAAAGAAAGAGGGAAACTCTTGGCACAATGTGATATGTAACTCTTAACACAGAGGTTTATTCTAATTCATTTGCAATTAAAAGAATAAGCCATCATTTACCAAGGTGGTGTAAAATTGCCATCCAACAGAATCCAAACCTGGAAACATAATTTTTAAATCTCTTACAGTGAAACATGGGTTGCCACAAATAATATATCATGTGTACAATTTAGGTTATGACCCTGGAAGACTTACCGGAGACATCAAAGAGGTTGAAGAGGTAATATCTATGACTAGTGGGTCAAATGTTTGCATGTCTGTTACATCATAGCTGGGATCTATCTGTTGAAAATAAGAAGTGAGGATATTATTCAAAATGGGCACAGAACAGAACCCTCAAAAATTGCATATGGTGAGATAATATATACTGCTAGCAAACTATTTAAGTACACACTATAATTTAAGAAAATGTTTTTTAATCCATTTAGTAGCAATGAATATACCCATTGGTTCATATTTGTAATTTGCTTCTCCAGAAGATGCATGGACAACCATTATTTTGTACCCATGCTCTCAGATAAACTGGGCTTTCAAAGTGTTTAAAATTGTAACCTATTGGTGTGCTGGGTATACCACTTGCATTTTATGGCTACTACAATGCATCTTAAATGAATACTGGTGTTAGCCATTTTAAAACCATTTTAATGTAATTGTATCATAATTAGCTTTAGGGTATATGTTGTAATGTTTTATAAATGTTGTTTACTATGTCTTATTGGATTTTTTAAAATTATTTTCATCTCGATGCATAATTCTTTGTTGTAAGTTTACTGTTGTTTCTGTGCATTACCTTGTATTATTTTGATGTGTTTGTGTTCATTTCAGGCACTGAATGTTTGCCTTTTGTTTTGTGTCTGTAAACCATCCTGAATCCTTTGGGGAGAGAGGGTGGTCTAGAAATAAAGTGTTGTTGTTGTATAATTCTTACTAAGAGAGCAGAACACCCAGAAATCACTGCTGTGTGAATGAAACACTGCAAATAATATCTGGATTTTCCAGAGATTGTTATTTAGGGATTTTTTTTATACACAAGGAGATCAGCTGGGAAGAGTCAGTCCTTAAGAGTACCAGAAACAGTACAGTTAATGATGCTCAATGAAGCTCATGAAAGAGCAGGAGACCATGGACTGTATCTGGAGCAGAAACAAATTGCTATGAAACACGTCTGAATTATTAATGGAAAAAATATTTAGAATGACTTCTGGTAGAAATTAGCTAGAAAATATATTTAAAACAAACAGGAAATTATGCGAAATTCTTTAAAATGCATCTAGATGCCAATTAAACATAGATAACGTCATGGCATTAAATATCTCTTTCTTCTCCATCCATGTTTTTAAAAGTTTGGCAGAATAAAAGTTTGAATATCTACAATTAGCTTTGCACCATAGGCGCTATTCTATCTTAGAAGGCTACATTCTATCTGTTCTATCTCGATTTATGGACATGGATTTAGGCTCCCAAGTTGTTTTCTTTTTCAACAGCTGCTCCTCAAAAGTATTTCCACTATCTTCCATATGGCCATATTCAAAACTATTTTACGGAATTTAAACATTTATTTTTTAGGTAGTTTTTTAAATTATTGTTGCAAGGTAACATTTTCTTGTAGCCCATCAAATATGTTTGTTTATCCTCATGTATATAACAAAACGGAATCGAAACTATGTGAAGTATGACATTTTCAATGTTCAAAAGGGTACTCAATTGAAAATCCTATTTCATAGTAGGCTGGTTTCTGATGTACATTAAAATCCTGAAATTGTAGTGCCATCTAGTGCAAAGTAGAAGTCATTAAAATGTACACTGATTTATATTCCAAATACTATCATATACTTGCAAACAGTACCATACATAACAATAGAATACTAACAAGCATTAAGGTGTATTATTATTATTATTATTATTATTATTATTATTGCATTTGTTTTATTGTTATTTTATTATTTAAACACTTTCAAGTCAATTATGTTTTAATTGTTTTATTCCATACTATTATTATCTCTTTACTCTTATTTTAACTAAAATTATTTTCAATCTATGGTGTCTTAATATTGTAATGTATTGTGTTATTACTTGCACTTTTTATTTTATTGACCTACTGAAAGTTGTAGTCCTGGGAAAAAAAGAGATGACATAAACATCTACCCTGTGGGTCATCAGTAACTTCCTAATGTTTCCTGACATAGTAGCATGTAAATAGATATTTTCTGCATGGAACCCGGGATACATGAAAAAGGGATCTCCAAACTAAGACCGCCAGGCCAGATACAGCCCTCCAAGATCAGTTACCTGGCTCCCGCCTTAAACTTAAAACTTAGGGTTGCCCTAAGTCTGAAATAACTTGAAGGCATGCTACAACAACAATCTTAATTAACTTGACTATCTCATCAGCCAAAACAAGGTCCCCGCTTCTCATTGAAATATTGGTAACTTTATGCTGGTTAAAATTGTTCTTCATTTTAAATATTCTATTGTTCTTTCATAATTTTTGGACTACAAATATGATATGTGCACAGGAATTTGTTCATGTTTTTTTTTTTCAAACTATAGACCAGCCCACTAACAGTCTGAGGGATTGTGAACTGGCCCTCTGCTTAAAAACTTTGAGGATAAACAAACTAATTAATTTCCCTGAAAGCTACTGTCACTGCTGTGTGAATGAAACACTGCAAATAATATCTGGATTTTGCAGAGATTGTTATTTAGGGATTTATAATTTAGCCCACCTGTATGAGATAATTTTTATTCATTTGTTTCCAAATACAGTCGTCCCCATCCCTTTCCCAATTTCTGGGTTTGCTTTGGCAGATTTGATTATTCACAGATTTGATTAATATGGTATCTCCAGGATTCTTTTGTGCAATTTTATGGACAACTTTGATGGAGACTGACCACTGAGTTGCACTGGAGGACTTATAGATTCTTTGATAGGAGTTCACTTGAATTAAAACTGTTTTTCTAAAATGTGTGGGTTTTTTACTTTTGCAAGAGTTATGTGTCAGCAATCCCAGCCATTATCTTTGTGAAAATCATGGCACACGTGTTTGTAGCTTCACTTCCCTAAGACTGATTCATAGACATAAAAACAACATTTGTTGTAAGTAGGCCTGAATAATAATGGTAATTGTATCAATGAAGAAGGTAACTGTGAAGTAACTGTACAAAAATTTACTATTTTTCAATTCAGGAAATACTAAACTCAAAATACAAGAAACATTCTGTTGAGTCTGCAAAATAACAACAACAACAACAATGTATTTATTACCCGCCTCTCCTTTTGTCTCAAGGCAGGGTACAACATAGCTAAACACATCTATAAAATCATATATTAAAACATAGTTAATTATGCAACCATAAAAGCATATATTAAAACATACACATATTGAAATACCTGAGAAAAAACACAATAAACAGAATGTGATTTAAAAGTCATAGCTTAATGATTAATTCTATGAATCTTTTATTGAAGTGATAGCAAATTAGGTTTTTTTTTCCACTTAAAATGTTCTAAGACTAGTTTATTACTTTTGTCTATCACTGTCATCTAGACATCCTGAGCTAGAAGAGGTAGATCTTGAAAATTATCAGAGTACTCATTTTCTAAATGCCTTTCCTCATATGGACAAAGTAACAGAAAAGGGAGATAATCATACAGTTTAGCTGAAATCGCTGAAACGGTTCAATAAGGTAGAAATCATGCTCAGTGAGTAGAGTATGTTCACTGCTGGGGGGGGGGGATGGAATATAATACTAGCTAGCTAAACAACAAAAGATAAAAATGTTTACCTCTATGGATTTTGATTTCGCATCATGACGATGAGGAGATCTTGGGTAAATATCAAGAAGGTGAGGAGGATCAATAATACGTGTTTTTTGCGTATGTTTTTTGAGCATTTTCTTATATTCAAATGCATCAAAATTTGTTTTCCATAGCAATACCTGTAATCAGTAAAAAAATTAATGCACACTTCAAAAATGTAAGTGTCTTCATTTTGTAAAGAGAAACAACACTATCTATTAAATTATGAAGGTATCTTGTGTTATTTGACTATCAACAAGGTCTAACTAGTTAAAATTGAAATTAATTTTAACAAGACTCTTGTAGGCTAACAGCAAACAGAAAAAAAATGATTATGATTTAGAAGTCTTTTCAGGTATACATGTGTTTTCATGTTAAATATTCAAAACTTAACAAACCTGTGCATCTGTACCACCAGAGGCAAATGTTTCCCCACCTTTCGAAAAAGCTGCAGAAAGGACAGGCCCCTAATTGAAAAACACAGATGGTTTTTTAAAAAGGCAATATATAAGCTTCCAGAAGTTTTCAACTAGCCTTTTGTCCCTTTTTAAGATGTGGTGTTCATGTTCTGTCCTATGAAATTCTACTCCATTCTATCCTCACTTCTAACTAAAAGGATATTTAGAATTGAGCATGGGAAATTTGGGAGTATGATAAATATGCTGAAAATCCCACTCTGTGATATGAATTTTCATACCCCTGAACACATCTGAACCATGGAACACATCTCACCATGCTAAAACAGTGGATGTGGCTCTTAATGAGACATGTCACATTATCACAGGATGTCTACACCCTACACCACTGGAGAAATTATACTGTTTAGCCGGTGGAAAGTAGCAGCCAATAATGGAGGGACCAAGGCAGTGACCTCTCCGGCCCATCCTGTTTGGATATCAGCCAGCACTTTAAATCAAGAAATAGTTTTCTGAGCTCTACAGAGATACTCGCAAAAATACCTCAACAAGTAAGAGTCCAAAAGTGGCAGGCTAAAACCCGGAACCTCAAACCATGGCTGATACCAAATGAGAGACTCCCCCCTGGGCACACAGAAGACTGGGTGACTTGGAAGGCGCTGAACAGACTACACTCTGGCCCATGAGATCTAGAGCCATTAAGAAATGGGGTCACAAAGCAGAGTCCCTGACATGCGAATGTGGAGAAGAGCAAACCACAGGCCACCTATTATAATGCAGTATGAGCCCTGCCACATGCACAACGGAGGATCTTCTTATAGCAACACCAGTGGCTAGATACTGGTCAAATGACATTTAGTATAATGCCAAGTTTTTTAAACTTTGTGTGTTTTTAATACATTACAAATGTACCCTTGGTTTGCTTCTGATATGATAAATAAATAATATGAATTTTCAAGGTGTTATGATATATTTAGAGTTACTTTGCAAATTACCTTGATAAAATGGATAAACTAGAAAACTGAAGAGAATTAACAGAAGGCAATTAGAGAGAAATATAAAAAATTACATTTAGGTACAAAAACAAATGCAGAGGAGCTATAGGATGAGTTATACATGGCTCAGAAGATCTACAATCAAAGAGGACTTTCTGATTGTTGTTGATTGTAAGTTGAATATCAGCCAAGACTGTGATGCTGCAGTCAATGCTATTTTAGCCTGCATTAATAGAAGCATAGTTTCCAAGTTGAGGAAAGTAATAATCATGTTACATTATATACTGGTCAGTACTGTATACTTGTGTGTATCTACAAATACATTGAGTTGGACACATTATGAACACAGTATTTGTTCAATGTCACAGGATGTACTCAAGTCATACTTTTTGCATTACAATTAATTAGGGACAAAGGAATGACCTTAATACAGACAGTCCCTGAGTTACAAACATCTGATTTGCAAACAACTCATAGTTAAGAACAAGGGTTAGATAACAAGTGAGAGAAATCTACCCCTCAGAAGGGAAATTCACTCCTGAAAGAGTTATCATGGGGAAAAGGTGTCTCTACGGAAGCTTTATCGCCAATTCTTATTTCCACAACAAGTCACATTTTTCAAAATCCAGTTCTCACAGGGACAGAAAGTGAGGTGAAATCTTCTGAATAGGGACACATTCAGCAAAACAAACACAACAAGGGTGTTAACCCTTCCCTATGCTATATTTTGACTGGAGTTACACTTAAAAATGTACCTGTTCTGACTAAAATACAAATTCAACTTAAGAACAAATATACAGAACCTATCTTGTTCGCAACTTGGGACTGCCTGTAAAAGGAAATAGCAATACACAAAGTACAAGACAGAAGAGACAACACCATTTTACCTTATGTCCATGAAGGGTATACAAAAGTCTTCCTCCTAAAAGATCCATAATCTTAAGGGTACCATCATTCGAAGCCGTGATGAGATAGTTGCCAGAAGGATGGAAAGATACATAGTTGACACCAGCCCTGTGAACTTATGTAAGGAAAAGCAATTCAGCTATTTATTCCCAATATTTCTGTCAATATAATCATCAATAGTTCAATCTTAAGAATACTTATTCAGAAGTGTTCTATTGTTTACAATGAGACTTAACTTCTATATAAGCATGTACAGAACTGCAGCTAAAAGCTAATTTGATTCCTAAATGCCATTTCCTTTCTACTGAGAAACACTTTCCAGTTTGATACTTAAGCTGTCATGTCTCCTTCTGAAGTCTCCCATGTACCTCAAAACTTATTCTGAGTGGTCTGGACACCTTCTGAAATAAGGGTATATGGTGTGTTTCTTGGATTTTTATTGGAAGAAGAGAGATCTAAATTAATTGCCTATTTAGATCCTGGCCTGTCTCCAGCTACTCTGACCTACTGTCATTCTTTTAAATTGCTACACTTCCGCTTTTAACTATTCCTATGTCACTCTATGAAAATATATCTCCTTCTCTTTCAACTGCAGTATTTTAATACTGGTTTCTCTGTGGCTGGGAAAACCAATCTCTTCTTTAATAAAAGGTAAATGTTTCCCCTGACATTAAGTTCTAGTCATATCCAACTCTGAGGGGTGGCGCTCCTCTCAATTTCTAAGCCAAAGAGCCCACATTATCCATAGACACCTCCAAGGTCATGTGGCCAGCATGACTGCATGGAGCGTCGTTACCTTCCTGCGGAAGCGGTATGTATTGATCTATTCACATTTACATGTTTCCGAACGGCTAGGTGGGCCTTACAGCGGGAGCCCACCTCACTCCCCAGATTTCAACCGCTAACCTTTTGGTCAGCAAGTTCAGCAGCTCAGCAGTTTAACCCACTTCACCACCAGGGAAGCTTTCTTTAATATTTATAATTAAATCACCATATATGATATATGATAGGCCAAGATATCTACTGTGAATTCAGTTGCAAGGAACTGCTTCGCTTTGTTCGATATGTTCATCCTCTGACTTTACCAGGGTTAACAGAACTGTACAAATGGATGGTTCCAAAGAATAAAAAACACAAGACCATTAATAGTTAAAATACTAAGGTAAGGAGGTTATATAATGTCAGCGTTTAAGGTGAAAGTGTAGAGTTGAAGCTTAATGGCATACAATTTGCATCCAGAACCATTTAAGCCAGCCACAGTTTTGGACAACAAGGTAAGTTATTCATGTCCAGGGGATCCTAAATACTCACAAATGGTCCCTAAAGCCTCTCGAAGGTAAAGGACTTTCAGATTGGCAGGCGCACAAGATGGTTTCAGAGCAGGAGCTGGTGCCTTTCCATATCTCATAATTTGGATTAAGTCTCTACTATCTCTGAACTACTTATGGGCACTAAGGGATGATTGTCAAAACTGCCGGTTCATTTAACTCTCATTAAGAAAAAGATTTCAGGAAATAACAGAACATATGGGAGCAGTGAGGAGAACTGCCAACACATCCTTAGGAACAGCTGGAGAGGGAAGGAAGTTGAGTGAGACGGATGAATTGGCTGGAAGGAAAATGTGAGAGTTCCTAAATCATGCATTAACATTTGATGGAGGAGTTTCTGCAAGAATAGCCCTTTTTATGATAAATAAAGGAACACTATTCAATTTCTAGTTTCCAAGATGAAAATAACATTCTTAAATCTGTCTCATCAGATTTAGAACTGATATGATCAGATTCAAAAGTTTAATTATTTTTCAGCAGAACCCTAGACAGCAGTAGACAAATTTAAAGGGTAAGCAATGCTTTAATGGGATAAACATGGGAATTTTTCAGACACTACACAATACCACAAGATTTTAACATCTTTAACAAATAGCTTTAATTTTCTGAAAGTCTAGGATTTCTTTGCACCAATCCAGAAAGAGGACGGCGTCATTTTTAGATAACCACAATGTGGAAGTCTGGATCCTGGTAACAACCAAATACAAAAAAGATGTTGCACATAAAAACAACAACTTCTTTTCTATGTTAATCTGGCAGCATTCTGTTTAGGAAGACAATGAGTTTGAGATTATAGAGAAACTTTGCTGCCATCTAGTGGTTTAAAATAGTAATTCCAATGGGTTATATTATAAGGACAGGTAGTTATAACTAAATCCTCAAAACACATTTGTGCAACCCTCCAATTTATTAAAATTATACACAACAAAATTCAGACTAACATCTCAGTCTGTGATGAGAATCTACAACAATGGTTTTGTTATTATCAATTCCTACATTACTACTATTTGAACATATGCTTTATGCTACAACACTTTTACTACTATTTAGATTCATTACAATGACCTAACATAAGGGGAAATGGATGTTTAAAATGGGTAACATAAATTATATACCGCATATACTCGAGTATAAGCTGAGTTTTTCAGCCTTTTTGTTAGGCTGAAAGAAGCCCATCTCGGCTTTTACTTAAGTCAAGGTTATTTATTATTTTACTTTGTTGTTATTATTATTATTATTATTACATTTATTATTTTATTTGACTATTTATTATTACATTTACATTATTTTACTCTAATTGTTATTACTGCATTTATTACTTTTTTCTATTTATTTTTATTTTATTACATTTTTATTTTACTGTATTATTATTATTATTATTACTACTACTACTACTACATTTATTATTCTACTCTATTTGTTATTATTACATTTCCATTATTTTACTCTATTATTTTTATTACATTTATTATTTTCCTGTCTTTATTATTGGAAGGATACATAAGCACATTTAGATTGAAAAAAGTTTGAATAATGATTTAATCAGAGTTGGAAGTCTTATCTTAAATTACAGTTTTATGTAAATATTTAAAAACATTTAACCTGCTGATGCCTCAATTAATGTAATTTTATTGGTATCTATTTTATCTTGAAATTTCCCAATAGCTACTGCACTTCTCACCCTCAGCTTATACTCAAGTCAATACATTTTCCCAGTTTTTTGTGCTAAATTAGGTACCTCGGCTTATATTCAGGTTGGCTTATACTTGAGTATATATGGGTAATTACATATTGAAGCACTGCCAAATGTTACTAAAGCAGACCATTTTTGAAATACCAGTTGAAAAAATGGCTCTCTTCAGGATGCTTGACAGGTCTGCGAAATAAATGAAATTATAATCAGAGGCTTCCCACATTTATTTCCTAAGATTTGTATTAGCTTTCAGACAAATTACAAGTTGGGGAGGATGGGAAAGATTGAAAGCGAGACAAAGACTCCATTTACACTGACCATTTAATGTAGTTTGGAACTAGATTCAAACTGCAGTGGCCAGACAACAAACTCCCAGAAAAGCAAACCCTTATTGTGAAGCAAACCCTTATTGTGAAGCAATGCTCTGTGCTTTGTGTAATTACCCTCCATACTTCAAATTGGTTCCATAATCCTGTGTAATTGCCTGCACAGCAAAATCACTTTCTTCAATACCAGTTTGAAACTGCACAAAATGGTCAGTGAACATGGGACCTGAAAAAGAGCTTCTGAACAGAATATACAATTACCTCGGTGCTGCTGCAATAATTTATTTATTCTAATATCCCAGATCTTCACTGTATGATCTGAACCTGCACAAGCTATGCATGTACCATCAGGACTGAAATCTGCATAGTTTGTGAATCTGGAAAAAAAAAACCAATGGGTTGTCACTGTGAAAATGCAATGTCATCCTTTCCACTTAGTTTTTCTAAGCTTAAAACTTGAATAGGTTTTATTTTCTATTCTAGCTGCTTTGCAGATAGCAACAGGTTCTTGCCAAATTGAATCACAATAGTTTTGCCTTTCCCTTATGATCACCTACTGGCATCCTTTTTTCTTGCCCAAGTACTGCTTACTAGTCATGGGCCCAATTTTTTTCCCATTCTTTTCATTTGTGTTCCTGTTTTATTCCATCCATTCGGATGGCATGAAATGGAAAGGCCCCTCCTGAAATGAATTGCAATCGATACAAAGGCAGGTGGGCCTCCTTTTCAGAAGGATTGCGTGGGGCCTGGCAGGACCTGCAGTTGAGCACCGAGTAAGGAGCGCTCCTTACCCTGCACTTGGCTGCAGGCTCTGCCAGGCCCAGGAACATAGGCCAGGAACCCTCCACCTGTAGGTCCAAAGCACACCCAGGCCTTACAGGACCTGCAGCTGAGTGCCGAGTAAGGAGCGCTCCTTATTCGATGCTCAGCTGCAGGCCCTGCCAGGCCCAGGTGCGTAGGGCTAAATCCTGCACCCATAGGCCCGGGCGCTTTGGGCCTACAGGTGAAGTCCCCCCATTGCAATAATGAACCAAAAGAAAAGGGATATTTAGGCCCTGGAAACGAAAAACAAATATCTAACCTTCCAATTTCGGGAGGCTCAGAACTAAGATGGATCGGGGGGCCCACCAAAAGCCGGGACACAAAATGGATCAAAGTAAGTATCGAATGCACATGACTACTGCTTACCCATCATGATCTATTATACTATCAATGCAGGTCTTGTTCCTTATATCCCAGACTTTAACAGTTTTATCTTCACTGCAAGATATTATTAATCTTCCATCTGGTGAGTATCTGAAAAGGAAAGTACACATACACACACACACACATATATATTTTAAAAATTCACAACTACTGGTGGTACAGAAGAATGCAAGACAAAAGAGGGGCATGCAAGCTATTGAAAAGACTAGTTTAATTCATGTCAGTTATGTCAGTGAGGTCTCCTTATGCTACATGGTTTTCTACTGTTTATAGTAGAGAAGCATTTTTTGTAATTTATATCCATTACTAGTTTGAAACAATGTATTGTCGAAGGCTTTCATGGCTGGAATCACTAGGTTCTTGTGGGTTTTTTCGGGCTATAGGGCCATATTCTAGAGGCATTTCTCCTGACGTTTCGCCTGCATCTATGGCAAGCATCCTCAGAGGTAGGTACAACAACCAGGGGTTTATATATCTGGGGAAATGACCAGGGTGAGACAAAGGGCTTTTGTAAGTTGGGCTAGGTGTGGATCTTTCAACTGACCACCTTGATTAGCATACAATGGGCAGCTGCAAGACCAAGAACAAGCCACGAGAGTAAAGATGAAGATCCATCCAGAGGAAAAGTGTTCCTGCCATACATCAAGGGAACCACTGACCGCAGAGGGAAGCTGAGGAGGAAACACAACATACAAACAATCTACAAACCCACCAAGAAAATCCAACAAATGCTACGTTCAGCAAAGGACAAGAGGGATCCTCTCACCTCTGCAGGAGTCTACCGTATACCATGCAGCTGTGGACAAGTCTACATAGGGACCACCAAACGCAGCGCCCAAACAAGAATCCAGGAACATGAAAGGCACTGCAGACTACTCCAACCAGAGAAATCAGCCATAGCAGAGCACCTGATGAACCAACCTGGACACAGCATTTTATTTGAGAACACAAAAATGCTGGACCACTCTCACAACCACCATGTCAGACTACACAGAGAAGCCATTGAAATCCACAAACATGTGGACAATTTCAACAGAAAGGAAAAAACCATGAAAATGAACAAAATCTGGCTACCAGTATTAAAAAATTCTAAAATTGCAACAGCAAAAACAGCAGAGAGAAAAACAGGCAGGGACATCTAATCACCTTTCAAGAAGAGTTTGCTCCAGGCACAGTCAGCCCATTGTATGCTAATCAAGGTGGTCAGTTGAAAGATTCACACCTAGCCCAACTTACAAAAGCCCTTTATCTCACCCCGGTCATTCCACAGATATATAAACCCCTTTTTCCCCAGCTCCAGCAGATCTCACCTCTGAGGATTCTTGCCATAGATGCAGGCGAAACGTCAGGAGAAATGCCTCTAGAACATGGCCATATAGCCCAAAAAAACCCACAAGAACTGAGTTTGAAACAATTTCACACACTTAAGATAAGAAAAGTAATTATTTACTAGAAGTGTAATTTAGTAAATTTCTATATAGCCTGAATACAACAATGGAATTATTCGGACCAGATGGAAGACCCATGGTTTCAGATGAGTTGTTGTATCGGTGAACCTTTTCTCCTTTCTTTGGGGCCAATTAATGAAGCAATAGAAAAGAAGACTATCTGCAAACTGAGTAGAAGCACAAGAACTTTTCAAATTCAAAAAGGAAAGGTATACAAACACTCACTTGGCACAGCTCACCCAGTGTGTATGTTGGGATAAGGTAAACAAAAGGTTTTGTCTGTAAATACTCCACACTTTTACTGACTTATCATTGGATGCAGTAACGAGAAACTGACTGTCATGTGAGAAGTTCACACTGCGGACTGTTGCAGTATGGCCTTTCAATGGTGTAGATTCGCCATGACTGCAAAATGGAAAAAGAAAACAAACATAATAAAAGGAGAGTAATAAATATTGCAGGCTAATCTGTCTTTTTCTCAACTTGCTTAAAGACAACATAAACCTTTCTAATCCAGTCAGTGTGCTTCTCTGCATAATCTGACACCTTTTTCCCAAAGAGCAGATGTACCCTGTTTCCTTGAAAATAAGACATCCCTTGAAAATAAGACCTAGAGGTTTCGCTGAATTGCTAAATATAAGGCCTCCCCGGAAAGTAAGACCCAGCAAAGTTTTTGTTTGGAAGCATGCTCCCCCTGGTGGCCGGAAGCTGCAATACCGTCCCTGCTGTACAAGTGGTCCGGGAAGTGCTGTGGGAGATCATTACAGTCTCCAGACAGTATGTGGGAGCTAGGTACTTTACAGGCCTTATTTTTTGTGGTCCTGTGTGTGAGGGCCAATATATTTATTATGCACTGACAACGACTGTACAGTATATAATAAAATGTTCATTTTTTGTTCAACAATAAATGTGAATTATTCCTGAAAATAAGACCTAGCACATATTTGGAAGCAAATATTAATATAAGACACTGTCTTATTTTGGGGGAAACAAGGTACCTAGTTTGATTAGGAATGGTCTGACCATGCAAGTGTGTGTGCAAGGGATTATGAGGGCCTCAGGAGTTTCTGGGGGCATTATATATTCCCACCTCATCATAGACTATGACTGGACCAAATATATGTATATTGAGAGTCAAAGAACTACATTTATTTATTTATTTACTATATTTATATAGTGCCTTTCTCACCCCTGAGGGGACTCAAGGCAGTTTACAACATACCAATGGTAAAATTCAATGCCAACATACACGTAAAAATCATGACTAAATAGTAACATATAACTATGAATTAAAATAATTAAAACCATCAAACATAAGACATAAACAACATTTAAACATCCTAGTATAAATATTAAAATGACATGGTCCAAATCTTTCTCTTTTCTTCCTGTTTTAGACTCTTCCCATCTTTCTCAAAAAATACTATTGAAGGGCAGGGATGATGCTAGAAAGAAAAAACCTACAGGCCACCAAATAACTTTTGGGATACCAGATAAAGATATTTTACAGCCCTTGTTCGAATGCCGTGTTAAATTGCACCCATGTTATGGGGAGAGAGATAAAACTAAAAGCACAAACTTTGAGCCTATAGCTGTAGCTATATTTTTATACAACTGAACAAACTTGATTAAAGGATTACAAGAAGACAGGTATTAAAAAAGAATATTCTTCAGTATTGCACAAAAACACTGTACAAATAATTATTCTGATTTGCAATTAATAATATCCCAAGGATCAGAGAGTACTGTGTAAATATTAAAAACAAATACAGCTCCCTGAAAATCAATCTTGTCTTATTTTTGCAAGTCTAGCTAAAAATCAACAGAGAGGTGTACAGAAAACTACTGGCACAGAAAGGAATAGTTTGCTTCTTGTTCACATGAAAGAAAGATAAACTGTAGAGCTACTGCAAGCCTATTTAGATACTATCATATGTCTCTCTATTATACGGTGGAGCCCTCAGTGGTGCAGTGGGTTAAACCACTGAGCTGTTGAATTTGCAGACTGAAAGGCCAGCAATTCAAATCTGGGGAGTGGGATGAGCTCCCGCTGTTAGACAGACAAAACAGTGTCTGTCAAAAACCGGCTGCTTTTGGTTATGTGGTGTCTGGGAGGCGGCTGCTAGAAGGAAAAGTGTGAGGGGCAAAAAAGGCACCACTCCAGGACCTGCAAACCAAGAAAAATGAGAGGCCTTTTTAAAGGAAGCCCAGGGTAGGATAGTTCCAGGTTGATTGCTCTTTCTTCTGTGAGAAGTGGGGAAGCCTCCTTAAAATGCCTTGGAAAGTTGCGTGCTGCAGGGAGAATGCTGCAAGTGCCTGCAGTGCCTGTCTCTTCTAGAGTAGAAACAGCTTTAACTAAGCATTAAACCCGGTGTCCTCTACAACAGAAGGTAAAGGATCGCAGAAAGAGTGGTATCTTCACTCTGATGCTTTTAATTCAAGTCTTAATGAAGGATATAAGGAAAAACAATGCCTAAAATGACGGGAAGGGGAGACTGGGAAGTTCCCCCGTAATGGGTCTGGCAGAAAATGAATCTTTCAGCTTCCCAGATCAAAAATGGATTTCTGTCCTCCTGAACCTGAGAGGTTCCCGAAAAACAGATTGGGACCCCCCCCATCGAAATCAGGACCTCAAAACTGATTGCAGTTTACCAGGATTGCATAAGCCTAATTTTAAAGCATCTTTAGATCACAGAACCTTAAGATCCTAAGACCAAAATATCAATATCACATTTGTAAATAAAAAGTTACAGCTCAGCTGAAGTAAATCCTGTAGATGAAAGTAAAAGTGACTTTATCTGTACCTGCTACAGGGACAGAAAAAGTAATAAGATGCCCTACATTTAGCCATACTTTCAGAAGTGGTGCCACTGAAAAGCACAGAGAGCAAAAATCTTAAGGTTTCAGCACTACTTACATACAAGGAATCCACAGCCTTGCTGTCCTGTCTTGAGAAGCAGAAGCCAGCAAGTGTCCATCTGGTGAAAACTGTACACATGTTACACCTTCTACATGGCCCACAAATCTGAAGGCTCTGGAGTTTGGCCTCAAATTCCATATCATAAGAAATCTATCTAAGGAAGAGGTAGCTGGAAAGAAATAAACATAGATACTAAAAACACCAATGAACTACTGTATCCACACTCCTTGTAAAGGCTGAATATAACTGAATATAAAAGCAGAAACATTTCGATCTGAGAGCTGGGACTATAATTCTGTTCTAAACTCAATTTTAAATTCCCCATTTGGATAAAAACTGGCATGCAAAAAGAACTGCCATTCACATTTCTTGTGCACTTCAATGACATCAGAAAGAATTGGCCATTTATCTGGTCATGGAGCTTTGGTGGTGAAGACATATCCTGAGTATGATCAAAAATAAAATTGTCAAAGGCTTTCATGGCTGGAATCACTGGGTTGTTATTGGTTTATTCAGGCTATATGGCCATGTTTTAGAGGCATTCTCTCCTGACCTTTTGCCTGCATCTATGGCAAGCATCCTCAGAGGTTGTGAGGTCTGCTGGAACTAGAAAAATTGGGTTTATATATCTGTGGAATGTCCAGGGTAGGAGAAAGAAGCAGGGACAACTAATCACCCCTCAACAAAAATTCCCCCAGGCACTAACAAGCTACACCAAAAAACTGTCAGGCCATCAAATGCTAATCAAGGTGGCTAATTGAAACATTCACCTCCAACAGACAAGAGTTCTTTCTCCCACCCTGGACATTCCACAGATATATAAACCCAATTTTCCTAGTTCCCACAGATCTCACAACCTCTGAGGATGCTTGCCATAGATGTAGGCGAAACGTCAGGAGGGAATGCTTCTAGAACATGGCCATATAGCCTGAAAAAATCTACAACAACCCAAAAATAAAATTGTTAAGTGGTTAGCATGAAGAAATGATTTCAGCATGGCACCAATGAAATGTGGACAGCAGAAAGATGAAAATGATATAACCTTTGCATATTTTGTTAGGCTTAAGTTTGCTGTTGAATATGGTCTGAAAACAATTCCAGAAAAAAGTGTTCTCATTTGAAGAACAATCTTTTCCTTTAACTTTAAAATGATGTAAAAATCTGAAGAGTTTAAAAACCAAAATGAAACTCAGGGCAGCACCTGGAGCCTTCTTCCCTTAAGTGACAAATTCAATTTATAACTTGGTAGAACTGAACCAGTTGACCATTGGTGCTTCCCAGAAGAGCTCATACAAATCCCTTTATCCATAAATATTTCCAATGTACTTACCAAGTGCTTTAGTAGTGGGATTGAAGGCAACACAGGTGACTGCGTCTTTGTGACCTTTAAAATTACGGAGCAAGATAGGATCCTCCTGGTAGAAAATAACACGCAGCTTTTATTTAGACAGTCACATAATCTGATACCAAAATTAACAGTAAAAGATGTCATTGAATCTTTCAGACTTTAAGGTGTTATGAGACCCCTTGTTGTACAGTGGATCCTTGGTAATCACTGGGGTTTGGTTCCAGAACCTTCTGTGGATACCAAAATCAGTGGATGCTCGAGTCCCATTATACACAATGATGTAGTAAATGTTTGCTTTGGGGATGTTTTAGAATATATATATATATATATATATATATATATATATATATATTCCAAAATAATTTCATTTATAAAATATAAGAAATAGGGAGGGCTGGAAGAAGACAACAGAATAGGAAGGACAAGAGACCTCTTCCAGAAAATTAGAAACATTGGAAGTAAATTTCAGGCAAAAATTGGTATAAGAAACAAAGATGGCAGGGATCTAACAGAAGCTGAAGAGATCAAGAGAAGGTGGCGAAACTATACAGAAGATCTGTATAGGAAGGATAATAATATTGAGGATAGTTTTGACGGTGTGGTGAATGAATTAGAACCAGACATCCTGAGGAGTGAGGTTGAATGGGCCTTAAGAAGCATTGCTAACAACAAGGCAGCAGGAGACGACGGGATCTCAGCTGAACTGTTTAAAATCTTAAAAGATGATGCTGTCAAGGTGATGCATGCCATTTGCCAGCAAATATGGAAAACACAAGAATGGCCATCAGACTGGAAAAAATCAACTTATATCCCCATACCAAAAAAGGGAAATGGAAAGACTGCTCAAACTTCGTACAGTGGCCCTTATTTCTCATGCCAGTAAGGTAATGCTCAAGATCCTGCAAGGAAGACTCCAGCAATACATGGAGAGAGTTGCCAGATGTACAAGCTGGGTTTAGAAAAGGCAGAGGAACCATAGACCAAATTGCCAATATCCGTTGGGTAATGGAGAAAGGCAGGGAGTTTCGGAAAAACATCTATTTCTGTTTTATTGACTATTCTAAAGCTTTTGACTGTGTGGATCATAATAAATTGTGGCAAGTTCTTAGTGGGATGGGCATCCCAAGCCACCTTGTCTCTCTCCTGAGGAATCTGTACAAGGACCAAGTAGCAACAGTAAGAACTGACCATGGAACAACAGAGTGGTTCAAGATTGGGAAAGGCGTACGGCAAGGCTGCATCATCTCACCCAACCTTTTTAACTTGTATGCAGAACACATCATGCGATGTGCGGGGCTGGATGAATGCAAAGCTGGGGTGAAAATTGCTGGAAGAAACATTAACAACCTCAGATATGCAGATGACACCACTCTGATGGCCGAAAGTGAGGAGGAGCTGAGGAGCCTTCTAATCAAGGTGAAAGAAGAAAGCGCAAAAGCCGGGTTGCAGCTAAACATAAAAAACCAAGATTATGGCAACAAGAATGATTGACAACTGGGAAATAGAGGGAGAAAACGTGGAGGCCGTGACAGACTTTGTATTTCTAGGTGCAAAGATTACTGCAGATGCAGACTGTGGCCAGGAAATCCGAAGACGCTTACTTCTTGGGAGAGCAATGTCCATCTCGATAAAATAGTAAAGAGTAGAGACATCAGACTGGCAACAAAGATCCGCCTAGTCAAAGAATGGTATTCCCTGTAGTAACCTACGGATGTGAGAGCTGGACCGTAGGGAAGGCTGAGCGAAAGAAGATCGATGCTTTTGAGCTGTGGTGTTGGAGGAAAGTTCTGAGAGTGCCTTGGACTGCGAGAAGATCCAACCAGTCCATCCTCCAGGAAATAAAGCCCGACTGCTCACTGGAGGGAAAGATACTAGAGACAAAGTTGAAGTACTTTGGCCACATCATGAGGAGACAGGAAAGCCTAGAGAAGACAATTATGCTGGGGAAAGTGGAAGGTAAAAGGAAGAGGAGCCGACCAAGGGCAAGATGGATGGATGGCATCCTTGAAGTGACTGGACTGACCTTGAGGGAGCTGGGGGTGGTAACGGCCGACAGGGAGCTCTGGCGTGGGCTGGTCCATGAGGTCACGAAGAGTCGGAGACGACTGAACGAATGAACAACAGGCTACGAGAACAGATAAAAGTAGAGTTTCTTCCATCAGCTTCTAATACAAAAAAAGGTTTCTATAATGTTAAATAAATGAGAAAGAAGAAAGTAGAACAAGTGAGGTTTTGTTTATTTGTGGAATGTCCAGGGTGGAAGAAAGTGCTCTTGTCTGTGTGAGGCAGGTGTGAATGTTGCAATGTTGTGAATATTGGATTCCCCAGGAAGAAAGCAGCCAGGCCTTGAAGTTGCAAGGCCATTCAATGCTAATCAAGGTGGCCAATTGCAACATTCACACTTGCCTCAAGCAGACAAGAGTTCTTTTTCCCACCCTGGATATTCCACAGATATATAAACCTCATTTGTCTGAGTTTCCAACAGACCTCACAACCTCTGAGGAAAACTCACAGCAACCCAGTGATTCCAGCCATTCAAATCTCTGACAACACAAAAAAATGCTATTTTTATAAGAGGGTTGTAATATCCCCTTAGGAATTTCCAGGGGTATATCGACACTGCTGAATTAATTTGACACCACTGTAACTGACATGGCTTGATTCGATTGAATCATGGGAGTTGTAGTTTGGTGAAGATCTAGCATTATTTTGACAGAGAATGCTAAGTATCTTGCAATAACTCTCATAATTCCACAGGCATTGAGCCATGGCAGTTAAAGTGGTGCCAAAACTGCATTAATTTGACAGTGGAGATGCATCCTTTTTTCTTCCAGCATGAATCTATATTCAACTTTTCCTGGAAACATCATCATCACATTGGGGGAGCTAGAAATTCCTAGGGAGAATTACTTTCATCAAATTTGTGAGTTATCAAATCTGCAAAAATTAAAACTGCAAACGTGGCGATTAGACAACATAGACAAGAGTCGTGTGCCTTGTAGCAGAACTCTGAAATGTGTTTTCTCATTTAAGCTCCCAAATGGCCATCCACACTGTTGAATGAATGCAATTCAACACCACTTTAACTCAATGCTATGAAATCCTGGGAGATATAGCTTCTGGGGGAAAAGGTCAGTGGGAAGAAGGGAGTTTCTTCCTTTCCTTTTCTTCCTAAATGCTTTAACATCCTCCCAAAGGATGCAGAGGGTTTAATGGGTCTTCTGTGACCTTTATTGGATGGCCCTTACAGTGCCTAATTCTATGAATCTGTGTCAGGCATGGACAAACTTTGGCCCTCCAGGTGTTTTGGACTTCAACTCCCACAATTACTAACAGTCAATAGGAAATATGGGTGTTGGAATGCCAAAACATCTGGAGGGCCAAAGTTTGCCCAGTCCTGGTCTATATAATATTATATGTCCTTTAGAAGAAAATTGAAGACTTGGCTTTGGGACCAGATGTTTGATTAATGGATAGCGGCAATTGGAAGAAGACTGGATACTGCGACATTGAATTAACCCAGACTTGGATTTGGTTTTAAACTGGCGTTGACTAATCTATCGTTTTAATTAATTATTTTTGATATTTTAATATAATTGTTGATTATTTATATGATGATAGCATCTTATGTGAGGCTACCCTGAGTCCTGTCCCCCACTTGGAGGGAACAGGGCGGAGTAAAAGTGTTCAAAATAAATGTATTTATTTACTATATTTGTATACCACCCTTCTCAGCCCTTAGGCGACTCAGGGCTGTTTACAATGGCAACGATTCGATGCCCAAAAACACCATAAAACATTTAAAAACATTAACACATAATATAAAACCACAACATGAATACTAAAAGCATACATCCTTTGCCTCTCCTAATAAAAACATTGTCCCATCTCATTGTCCAGTCGTTCCAATTCCTACGTCTTTTACCTTGCATTTTCAAACACTTGCTCAAACAATCAAGTCTTGACTCTCTTCCAAAATGCTAAGAGAAAGGGGGCCAATCTAATATCCCCAGGAATGGCATTCCATAGCCGAGGGGCCACCACTGAGAAGGCCCTGTCTCTCATCCCCACCACATGAATAAATAAATATCCCCATATTGATGTAACTCAATGCTATGGAATCCAGCATTGGGTTGTTGTAAGTATTTTCGGGCTACATGGCCATGTTCTAGAGCAGTGCTTCTCAACCTTCCTAATGCCGTGACCCCGTAACACATTTCCTCCTGTTGTGGTGACCCCCAACCATCACATTATTTTCGTTGACACTTCAGAACTGTCATTTTGTTACTGTTATGAATCGTAATGTAAATATCCAATATGCAGGATGTATGTTTCATTCACGGGACCAAGTTTGGCACAAATATCCAATACGTCCAAATTTGAATACTGGTGGGGTTGGGGGATTGTTTGTCTCATTTGGGAGTCGTAGTTGCTGGGATTTATAGTTAACCTACCACCCAAGTGAAGGCTTTCATACTGGGACAATTTCATCCTATATTGTATGTGTTTCCTCCACCACAGACATCTCAGTGTTTTTTCTCTATTGCTGTGGGATTTGCATGACCCCGCCCACTGCCTCTTCCTTAACCCTTTCCTATTTTTTTTTCTGTTGCACCCAGCAAACATGAATTGATCAGAAACTGAACATACTATCTAGAGGCATTCTCTCCTGACGTTTCGCCTGATCTATGGCAAGCATCCTCAGAGGTAGTGAGGTCTGTTGGAACTAGGAATCCAGCATTATTTGGGAGATAGGACTCAAGCCCTTGTAAAACTACAACTCCCATGATTGTGAGAGAGTAGTGTCAAACTGCACTCTTTCTACAGCAGGCATGGGCAAACCTTGGCCCTCTGAAGTGTCCAAAACACTGGAGAACCGAAGTTTGTTCCATAGCATAGAGGCTAAACTACAACTCCCAGGACTCCATGGTGTTGAAACAGGACAATTACAGTGGTGTCGAACTGCATGACTTCCAGGGAGGAGTCTGTGTTTGGGGCACTGCTGTCAAACTGCTCTCCTGGCCCTTTTTAAAGGCTGAGACAGGCCCAGAGGCGCAAAGTGGGGTGAGAGAAGCGCCCTACCAGAACCGAGGCCATCGACCTTCCCTTCCTTCTCCTCTCTGCCTCTGGGCCCCGCTCAAAAGGCCCGCGCTTCAGACCACGCCAGTCGAGCGACGAGCCGACGAGCCCTCTGGAGGGGAAACAAAGCGGAGGAGCCTTTCAGCCGGAGAGGGAACGAGGGGCGGAACTAAGCCCCGCCCACCTTTCGGCGCCCAGCCTCAGCATCCATGACGTCGGCGCTCGATTCGCCCTCCCTCTCAAGACCCGGAAGTTGAGCCTGTTGCTTAGCGACGCTGAGCGTCCAGGAAGTTTAGCCAAGACGGGGAACGCTCAGAGAGGCAGTGGAAAAGCATGGAAACAATTGTGGTTGTTGATAGATATGCTTCAGCCTACAGATCCCGTAATGCCTCATCATATTGTGACGACTAGGCCTGGTGGGAGTTGTAGGCCAAGAAAAAAAAAAAAAAGAATGACGTCTTATTATTCCATTCCGAGTAGGATTGTCTTCCCAGATCGGTGGGTCCGTAGGTGACTGTGGAGCCCTATTCTTGATCTGCATGTAGAATCATAGAATCATAGAATCAAAGAGTTGGAAGAGACCTCATGGGCCATCCAGTCCAACCCCCTGCCAAGAAGCAGGAATATTGCATCCAAATCACTCCTGACAGATGGCCATCCAGCCGCTGTTTAAAAGCTTCCAACGAAGGAGCCTCCACCACACTCCGGGGCAGAGAGTTCCACTGCTGAACGGCTCTCACAGTCAGGAAGTTCTTCCTAATGTTCAGATGGAATCTCCTCTCTTGTAGCTTGAAGCCATTGTTCCGCGTCCTAGTCTCCAGGGAAGCAGAAAACAAGCTTGCTCCCTCCTCCCTGTGGCTTCCTCTCACATATTTATACATGGCTATCATATCTCCTCTCAGCCTTCTCTTCTTCAGGCTAAACATGCCCAGCTCCTTAAGCTGCTCCTCATAGGGCTTGTTCTCCAGACCTTTTATCATTTTAGTCGCTCTCCTCTGGACACTTTCCAGCTTGTCAATATCTCTCTTGAATTGTGGTGCCCAGAACTGTACACAATATTCCAGATGTGGTCTAACCAAAGCAGAATAGAGAGGTAGCATGACTTCCCTAGATCTAGACACTATGCTCCTCTTGATGCAGGCCAAAATCCCATTGGCTTTTTTTGCCGCCACATCACATTGTTGGCTCATGTTTAACTTGTTGTCCACGAGGACTCCAAGATCTTTTTCACACGTACTGCTCTCGAGCCAGGCATCCCCCATTCTGTATCTTTGCATTTTATTTTTCCTGCCAAAGTGGAGTATCTTGCATTTGTCACTGTTGAACTTCATTTTGTTAGTTTTGGCCCATCTCTCTAATCTTTCAAGATCGTTTTGAATCCTGCTCCTGTCCTCTGGAGTATTGGCTATCCCTCCCAATTTGGTGTCGTCTGCAAACTTGATGATCCTGCCTTCTAACCAGGGGCGGCTCATCCATTACGCGAAGTAAGCGGTCGCAGAACACTTTTTTTTGCCAGGGGCGCTGAGGCGCCTCTGTAAATGCCCCTCGACCGCCACTTGAGGAGCGCCCCCTCAGCTCACAACAGCCCTAGCAGTCCGGGGGGAGCCTCGGCTTTCTTGCCTTGCTGCCGGGAGATCCTCTTCCCAAAGGGGCCGGGCCCTTGAGCCTCGCCTAGCCCCTCTTGTTCCTGCTCCACCTGGCCACCGGGTGTGTGAGCAGAGCCGGTGCTCAATCGTTCTCCGCGTTCGATCCTTTCCCCATGACTGGCTCCCTTTCCTGATCCCCCAGCGCTCCACCCGCCTCCTCTCCTCTCCCCAATCCGCGGGTGGCCAAGGGGCGGAGCCGCCACGCCTGGCCCGCTTCGGGTCCAGAGGCGTGTCTGAAGACCCCAGCGTGCGCACCAAAAGTCGCCTCTTCTCCTGACTTTCTCTTCAGCCATTGGGACCAAGAGAGAGAGAGAGAGCCCCTCCGGCTGGAGGTATCTCCCACCTCCGCTCCCTCCTTTGTTTTTGCGCCTACCTTCAGGAAAGGTGGGCATCTCCACCTCTCTCTCTCTCTCTCTCTCTCTTGGTCCCAATGGCTGAGGAGAAAGTCAGGAGAAGAGGTGACTTTTGGTGCACACGCCGGGGTCTTTAGGCACGCCTCCGGACCCAAAGCGGGCCAGGCAAGGGAGCAAGTACGGCAAATGTAGTTACTGGGATGTATAGTTCACCTACAATCAAAGAGCATTCTGAACTCCACCAGTGATGGAATTGAACCAAATATGGCACACAGAACTCCCACGACAAACAGAAAATATATATCAATGATTGGTTGGGGGGGGGGGGCACCAAAATACTGTTTGCTTACCGTTGAAAATTACCTAGTGCCGCCTCTGCTTCTAACCCTTCATCTATCTAAGTCATTAATAAAGATGTTGAACAGGACCGGGCCCAGGACGGAACCCTGCGGCACTCCGCTCGTCACTTCTTTCCAGGATGAAGAGGAAGCATTGGTGAGCACCCTCTGGGTTCGTCCATTTAACCAATTACAGATCCACCTCATCGTAGTTTTGCCTAGCCTTCCTCTTGGCACGTTTCGCTCTTTCGCCTTCCATTCGTGCCTCTTCAAATTCTACAGCACTGCTGGTCACAGCTGACCTCCAGCTGGAGCGCTCAATGCCCAGGGCTTTCCAGTTCTCAGTGTCTCTGCCAGAGCTTTTAAGGTTGGCTTTGAGCCCATCTTTAAATCTCCTTTCCTGTCCACCAACATTCCGTTTTCCATTCTTGAGTTCAGAGTTGAGCAACTGCTTTGGAAGATGGTGGTTTGTTTTTTTGTCGTGTCAGGAGCGACCTGAAAAACTGCAAGTCGCTTCTGGTGTGAGAGAATTGGCCGTCTGCAAGGACGTTGCCCAGGGGACGCCTGGATGATTTGATGTTTTATCATCCTTGTGGGAGGCTTCTCTCATGTCCCCGCATAAGGAGCTGGAGCTGATAGAGGGAGCTCATCCGCCTCTCCCCGGATTCGAACCTGTGACCTGTCGGTCTTCAGTCCTGCCGGCACAGGGGTTTAACCCACTACGCCACCGGGGGCTCCAGGGAAGATGGTGGTCAGGCATCTGGACAATGTGGCTATTCCAGTGTTGATGGTGGAGGACCATCACTTCAATGCTGGTGGTCTTTCCTACTTCCAGCACGCTGACATTTGTCCGCTTGCCTTCCCAAGAAATTTGCAGGATTTTTTGGAGGCAACACTGATGGAATCGTTCTAGGAGTTGCATGTGACATCTATAGATAGTCCACGTCTTGCAGGCGTATAACAAGGTTAGGAGGACAATAGCTTTATAAACAAGCTATTATTCCATTACTTACTTAGGCGATCCCTCATTGGCCCTCTGAGTGTTGTGTTTTGGCGGTGGATGCATAGGTGGCTGTAGAGACCTATTCTTGATCCGCATGTTCTTTCACAGTGAGGGTATCACTTTCCAGGTGGAAAGTGGTTTTGGTCAGGGTTGGCTTGACAGACCTTCCTCTTGTCACGTTTCTCACACTCAATTCCTGAAACGATTCCATCAGCACTGCCTCGGAAAAATCCTGCAAATCTCTTGAAAAGACAGACGGGCAAATGTCAGCATGCTTTTTTTTTTCTTTTTCTTTTTTTGTGTCAGGAGTGACTTGAGAAGCTGCAAGTCATTTCTAGTGTGAGAGAATTGGCAATCTGCAGGGACGTTGCCCAGAGGACGCCCAGATGTTTTGATGTGTTACCATCCTTGTGGGAGGCTTCTCTCATGTCCCTGCATGAGGAGCTGGAGCTAATAGAGGGAGCTCATCTGCGCTCTCCCCGGATTTAAACCTGTGACCTGTCGGTCTTCAGACCTTCTGGCACAGGGGTTTAACCCACTGTGCCATCAGGGGCTCCTCATCATGCTAGAAGAAACCTTAAAGCAATTAACTGCATGTCACCAGCACTGAAGTGATGAACTGAATGCCACCGTTGTCCAAATACTTGATCACCATCTCACAAAGCAGTTGTTTTGTTGATGTTTATTTGTTCAGTCACTTCCAACTCTTCATGATCTCATGGACCAGCTCGCACCAGAGCTCCCTGTCAGCTTTGGCCACGCCCAGCTCCTTCAAAGTCAAGCCAGTCACTTCAGTCACCATCCATCCATCTTGCCCTTGGTTGGCCCCTCTTCCTTTTTTCCTTCCATTTTCCCAGCATCATTATCTTCTCCAAGCTTTCTTGTCTTCTCATTATGTGGCCAAAGTACTTCATCTTTGCCTCTAATATCCCTCCCTCCACTGAGCAGCCCAGCATTATTTCCTGGAGTATGGACTGGTTTGATCTTCTTGTGGTCCAAGGCACTCTCAGAATTTTCCTCCAACACTACAGTTCAAAAGCATCTGTCTTCCTTTGCTCAGCCTTCCTTATGGTCCAGTTCTCACATCCATAGGTCACTACAGGGAAGACAACTGCTTTAACTGTGCTGGTCTTTGTTGCTAGTGTGATGTCTCTACTCTTCACTATTTTATCGAGATTCATCATTGCTCTTCTCCCAAGAAGTTAAGGTCTTCTGATTTCCTGGCTGTAATCTGTGTCTGCCGTAATCTTCACGCCTAGAAATACAAGTTGAATAGGTAGGGTGAGGGTATACAGTCCTGCTGTACTCCTTTCCCAATCTTGAACCAGTCTGTTGTTCCATAGTCTATTCTTAGTGTTGCTACTTGGTCGTTATAGATTCCTCAGGATACAGAAAAATTGGATATGTATAAGTAGCAGATAAGCATAGTAATGTAAAAAAAATAATAGAAAAACAGGAATCATTAGAATGGAATGAGAATATATGGTTGTTGTAGTTTTTTGGGGCTGTATGGTTGTCAAAACTCACAACCTCTGAGGATGCCTCCATAGATGCAGTGAAACGTCAGGAGAGAATGCTTCTAGGACATGGCCATACAGCCCGAAGAACCTGCAACAACCCAGTGATTCCAGTCATGAAGCCTTTGACAATACAGCATATGGAATTTATTTTGTGATGGTGACTGTGACAATGTTATAATTTACTTACATAACCAAATTATATGTATGTGTACATGTGTGAAAAATATGAATTCACTTGTAAAGCCTAGGCCATGATTTTAAGGTTATTTTCACTTGTAGAGTACATAATATAACATTTCT